CTGTAGTCCCAGCTACTTGGGAGGCGGAGGTAAGAAAATCGATTAAGCCCAAGAGTTGGAGGTTGCTATGCGCTGTGGTACCTAACAGCACTCTACTGAGAGCGACATAGTGAGACTCTGTCTCAAAAAAAAAAAAGAATTTACATAGGGTAGATAGTAGGGTGTATTTCACTGAAAATGGAAAATAAAATGGAAAAAATCTAGTTTCTTAATATTTCCAAATTAAATGACATATTTTATCACAAAAATTAAAAAAAATTTTGCAATACCAAAAGAAGATTTGATCTACCAACATAAGATTCTACAAAGCATACTCCATGACACTCCTTCTTTATGGCAAAAGAAGAGCAACAGTTGTTCGGGGACCATAGGATCTACTGGTTGTACCTCACATGGCATGACCCAGAAGTTGCTGGAATGGTAAAGTATTAGAATAGCTTGCAGAAAGCATCAGTAAAGAGCAAACTCAGAGCTACTCTATAAGGATGGAATTCCATCTTACAAGAGTCAGTGTATAACCAAATCAAAAACTTCTGTATGATGCCAAGGCAAGTGGATTGCCTGAGCTCATGGGTTCAAGATCAGTCTGAGCAAGAGCGAGACCCTGTCTCTAAAAACAGCTGGGCATTATGCTGGATGCCTGTAGTCCCAGCTACCTGGGAGGCTGAGGCAAGAGAATTGCTTAAGCCCAAGAATTTGAAGTTGCTGTGAGCTGTAACACCACAGCACTCTACCAAGGCGGACAAAGTAAGACTCTGTCTCAAAAAAATAACAAAAAAATGCTTCTATACAATACACTACATCCCCAACAGGACAAACACACAGCTCAAGAATCAAGGACAAGAAGCATGAACGACCCCACATACTGATTCATTGGGAGTCTGTGTGTTTCCCATTTCTGCCTACAGAGAATATACTTCCATCAGAAGACATAGCAAAAGCCCCTATAAACTAGACACTACAGCTGCCACCAGGGCACCTCTGGTTCCTTATATCCAGCAATCAGCAGGAAAGAGAGAAGTCATTATCTTGAGAGGAATAATTGACCCTGAAAACCTGGGGGAGGTACCACTACTATCACATTAATACTGGAGGCAAAGAGGAATGAATATATGTGGTAAATACAGGTGATTTGGTTAAATGTCTCCTGTATTTCCTTGCCTAACTGTGATGATAAATGGACAACTGCAACAACCCTGGCCTCACAAAAGTATGGTAATCAGGGCCTCAGATCCCTCAGAGATCAAAGTATGGTCATGTTATGAGATAAGCTACCAAGACCAGTATTCCATAGAACCTCCACAGCTGACCACCTTGCTAGGTTGACCACCTCCTTAAGTTGACCTAATTTTCATAGACTGGATAGGCACGACATGTATGTTTCAGTACAGTTGACCAGTTTGGTACAGTCCCTTGGTCAATTTACAGGGCTTCCACTGTATTTGGTACTTGAGGGTAAGGGGACTGACTCTAGAATGGATAGTGGAGGAAGGAGATGATTAGTTATCAGCTGCAACTTAAGACCAGCTGTAGCAGTGGGGACTGTAGTTCATCCTATTAATTAACCCCCTCTTCTTTGTTTCCCCAAAGAAGAAACCCATTAGAATCCCAGAACAACTGATCTTCTACATGTGAGGAAGTAGATCCAAGTGACTTAAGGAGTAGACTGTGAACCATCACAAGGAGAAATTTGAATTGTCCTTGCTCTAGCTAGCTACTGGGAATGCTATTAGTCCACCTCCATTTGTCAGTTCCATCAAGTTTCCCACAGCTGCAGAGAATCACCTTGCCCAAGAGTATAACTTTCCCAAGAGAGTCCATATCCAATGACAGATCTTGCAGTGGGATCTTAGGCCTACCTGACCTTCTGCCCCACAGTGAGACAATACTAACAAACCATACATCTTCCAGAGTTCTCTACTATGTCCTTCCCTTCCACAGCTATTGATTCCTATATTTCATGTACCAAATTTTATCTCAGCACCTGCTTCTAGATATTGCAACACATGGCTGTTAGATAGATTTGTATTAATTTAAAACATTTAAGTAAAACTAATATTCTAATAACATTCACCATGTTTATCTTGTTTCCTATGCCTCCAACAGTTCCCAGTTTGGTAAATATCATCATATATCACTGAATTGCTCTCTTCAACGTCCCAGAGTAAGCAACTTATACATCTGGCAGGAAATAGCTAAATGATAAACAAAGATGGGAATAACCAGCGCACAAATGGCCACAAGTAAGTCACACTTACTTGTACTGAGGAAGACTTCGGAACAGTGGGTACCACAGTAGTTCCTATTTGGGCCAATTTTTTAACAGGTGCCACTGCCACATTCTTGATTACTTGTGAGCTAGAATTCTTGGGGGTGGGAGGGGAGCAAGATAACATAAAGTCATTGATGTTAGTAATCTAAAAATCAATCAGTACTATGGTGAACATAAGAACACTCTACCATAGCAAACTTATTTGTTATGACTAGCTTTATAATAATCTTACCTTATGGGTTTTATACACATTCTATACTCTAAACCTAACTCATCAATTGACCAGTTGATACTTATTTCCTCTTTCTAATGGGGCAACTGATTCAATAAACACCTCATTTATCTGAAATCTCAGCATTAAAATAGTATTCAGCATTAAAATCTTAATCTTGACTATCCGGTTCATACTAGAAAACATACAGAACCTTATTTAATATTTAATTATAAAAATAATCTGCTAACCTATATTCTCAACCCACAGCAGTTAGATAAACCATGTTATAAAGGGAAGGAACAGCTATATTTTTATTTTTTAAGAGACAGAGGCTCACTTTGTCACTCTCGGTAGAGTGCTGTAGCGTCACAGCTCACAGCAACCTCCAGCTCTTGGGCTGAGGCGATTCTCTTCCCTCAGCTTCCAGAGTAGCTGGGACTACAGGTGCCCACCACAACGCTCAGCTATTTTTTTGTTGTTGTTGCAGTTTGGCAGGATTAGGTTTGAACCTGCCACCTCAGTATATGGGGCCGGCGCCCTACTCACTGAGCCACAGGCTCCACCCAGGAACAGCTATTATTGATAAAGTAACAGAGAAAATGACTAGCTAAAATCAAAATCAAATTAAGAGAGCACAAAAATGAAAACGAAAAACTGGCAGAAAATAATATTATCATTAAAAAAATGCAATTTTTCATTAGGATGAGCCTGATTCATCAAAAAAACCAATAAACTACATTCAGCATCTTCTGTTTAAAGACACCCATAAAAATATTTTAGCTCTATCACACAAGGTAAACATCTTATCTAGAAAGATCACTACACATGTAAAATAAGTTATTTAATAACAAAGACAAATTAATGAAACATTACAGGCTTATGTATTTCTTAAAGATAATTTATTATAAGCTACATATAAAAATGAACTAGAGGCTTGGTGCCTGTGGCTCAAGTGGCTAAGGCACCAGCCACATACACCTAAGGTGGCAGGTTCAAATCCAGCCTGGGCCCGCCAAACAGCAATGATGGCTGCAACAAAAAAATAGCCGGGTATTGTGGCGGGCACCTGTGGTCCCAGCTACTTGGGAGGCTGAGGCAGGAGACTCGCTTGAGCCCAGGAGTTGGAGGTTGCTGTGAGCTGTGATG